TGTCTATATATTTATCTCTTTCCTTTTTGATTTCTATATCTATCTATCTATTTTTATCACCATTCCTGTCTTTATCATAATTTCTATTACTTAACAGTCATCTGTCTACAATCTTAACAAAATAAGATATTCATTTGACCTTGTGTTCACAACAGGCACAGAATGGAAGCCATTGGCGCTCTTACAAACGATAGAAATGAGAAACTAGAAGAAAGGACTAAACGTCAAATCTAATAAGACACTTTCAGCAAAATTAACAGCCCAACATGCGAATTGCAAATTAGGTATACCAAAAATCAGTTAAGTGCAAAATGTTGAAATATCTCGGAAGTGTTTTAACAGAAGACGGAAGATTTGACACCGAAATCCGAAGCACATTAAAATGGCGAAAGTTGCCTTCCAAAAGCAAAACAAATAATTAAGAAACAGGAAGATTTCGTTAGAAACAACGAAAACTGTAGTAAATTGTTATAATTTACCAGTCCTTCTATATGGTAGATCCACGGTCAGCCACCTACAGCACGCGTGCCATACGTGGCACGCATTCTCACATCGTATCCCGAAGTCAGAGCTAGTAACAGTTACGGCGCAAAGATGTTTAGTTGCTTCCAAGCTGCTCATTCGTTGGACTCCCATTAATAATAAAAACTTTCGAAACCAATTTATTTCTATTGATTTGGTTGACATATTGTATATATCACTATATAAAATATATTCTAGAACAGGTATATTGACCTTGACTTGTATAAAAAAAATACGTATGCTTTTGTCCCACTGAATGATTTTAAAGCCCTAACTCGGCACATAGTCAGCAAAATGTTTCCGACCCCTGGTATAGGAAATCTTTGTGGGCCCCTGGAATATTTGTCCCGCAAATAAGATTGGCAGAGTCATTGAGTCCGGGTAAAAGTAACAAATCCACTATTGGCTAAACCAGCACATAGTCAGCAAACCATTCCTGAAAATAAAACCAGTAAACGTCTAGCCGCACAAGGATATGGAGAGAAAGCTAAACGACAAACTTTACAACGGATGGGAAATTGTGGAGAGCCTAATCGCCCTCGTCATGAAGGGATACAAAAGAGAGAAGACGTCTTTATGTATATAAAACTGTAGTCTCTGTCTCTTATCGAAATCCACTTAGGGATTCGGAAATAAATCCCTATAAACATATAAATTCTGAAACTAAAATTTAAACTTAAATGTTTCTTGCTTTCTGCTGTTTTTTTGTTTTTGCTTCTTTGTTTTTTTGCTTCTTTGTTTTTTTGTTTCTTTGTTTTTTTGCTTCTTTGTTTTTTTGTTTCTTTGTTTTTTGTTTCTTTGTTTTTTTGCTTTTTGTTTTTTTGTTTCTTTGTTTTTTTGCTTCTTTGTTTTTTTGCTTCTTTGTTTTTTTGTTTCTTTGTTTCTTTGTGTGATTTTTTTATTTTGCTCTAGCGACTTTGCTTCATTTTTTCTCGCATTTCTTTGCTTGTTTCTTTCTTGCCCTTGTTTTTTTTGTTTCTTTGTTTGTTTGTTTCTTTTCTTGTTTGTTTCTTTGTTTGTTTGTTTGTTAGTTTCTGCCTTATTCATGCTTTTTGCTCCTCCATTTTGTTTCTTTACCTGATTTTTGTTTCTAGCACTTGCTGCTTTGCTTCGTTCCTTCTCTTGTTTCTTTGCTTGTTTCATTCTTGCTCTTGCTTTTTTGTTTCTTTGCTTTGTTTGTTTGTCTGCTTCTGTCTTTCTCCTGCATTTTTTGCGTCTTGAATCATTTTGTTTGTTTTCCTGTTTGGTTGTTTCTTTTCTTTTCTCGTGCTTTTTGGCTTCTTTCTTTCTTTCTTTCTTTCTTTCTTTTGTTTGTTTGTTTGTTTGATTCTTTCTTTTTTGTTTCTTTTGTTTGTTTGTTTGTTTCTTTCTTTTTTTGTTTCTTTTGTTTGTTTGTTTCTTTCTTTCTTTTTTTGTTTCTTTGAATAACTGTGTTTTTATTTCTTTCTTCGTTTTTTCTTCTTTCTTTTGTTTGATTGTTTGTTTGATTGTTTCTTTGTTTCTTTCTTGCTTTCTTTCTTTCTTTCTTTCTTTCTTTCTTTCTTTCTTTCAAGCAGTGCTTTTGTCTGCATCAATCTCGACATATAGGCTTGCCTCTCTCCTTGAAATCACATTTGAGAAGATGACAGATCATTACCATTCAACAGACACCCCGAGCCCAGAGAAATAGCAAACAGTCTCATCTGAAATCGAATACAGCGGGTTTATTTTTAACGCACATTCTTAGACATAAATGTCAAGTATTCCTTGTTGCTTAAATGATAGCGATATATAAAGGATAATATACATAATTTCAATAAAATGCGGCAAAGCCGAGAGGATGAATAGCGCTGGAAGACGTGCGGACGAACTCCACTTACCCAGGGAACACAATGCCGTGTTTTTACAAGCATATATATATATATATATATATATATATATATATATATATATATATATATATATTCTATAAGCATTTAATAGATTGCTGCAGATGGCCTCCACTCTGCAATCCATCTATTTATATCATTTGCACTCATTCATAAGCATTATTTCCTTTCTATTCCATACTTACACGCTAAGTCATAATCACTCACTCACTTGCTTTATTTACTCACTCACTCACTCACTCACTCACTCTATCTATCTATCTATCTATCTATCTATCTATCTATCTATCTATCTATCTATGTATGTGTGTATCTATCTCATTCTATAGTTAAATATACTATATTTATAATGGAAGTTATCTATCTATCTATCTATCTCTCTATCTATGTAGACACAGGTACACAGATAAGTGCGCTTGCACACCAACATATGTTGCTTATCTTACTCTATCTATCTATCTATCTATCTATCTATCTATCTATCTATCTATCTATCTCAGTCTATTCATATCTATCTATCTATCTATCTATCTATCTATCTATCTCAGTCTGTTCATATCTATCTGTCTATCTATCTGTTCATATCTATCTATCTCAGTCTGTTCATATCTATCTATCTATCTATCTATCTATCTATCTATCTATCTGTTCATATCTATCTATCTATCTATCTGTCTATCTATCTAGACACACATACACAGATAAGTACGCTTGCACACCAACATATAGGATGTTTATCTATCTATCTATCTATCTATCTATCTATCTATCTATCTATCTCAGTCTATTCATATCTATCTATCTATCTATCTATCTATCTATCTATCTATCTATCTATCTATCTATCTATCTCAGTCTGTTCATATCTATCTATCTAACTATCTATCTATCTGTTCATATCTATCTATCTATCTATCTATCTATCTATCTATCTATCTAGACACACATACACAGATAAGTACGCTTGCACACCAACATATAGGATGTTTATCTTACTCATCTATCTATCTATCTATCTATCTATCTATCTATCTATCTATCTATCTCAGTCTATTCATATCTATCTATCTATCTATCTATCTATCTATCTATCTATCTCAGTCTGTTCATATCTATCTATCTAACTATCTATCTATCTGTTCATATCTATCTATCTATCTATCTATCTATCTATCTATCTAGACACACATACACAGATAAGTACGCTTGCACACCAACATATAGGATGTTTATCTTACTCATCTATCTATCTATCTATCTATCTATCTATCTATCTATCTATCTATCTATCTATCTCAGTCTATTCATATCTATCTATCTATCTATCTATCTATCTATCTATCTATCTATCTATCTCAGTCTGTTCATAGCTATCTGTCTATCTATCTATCTGTTCATATCTGTCTATCTCAGTCTGTTCATATCTATCTATCTATCTATCTAGACACACATACACAGATAAGTACGCTTGCACACCAACATATAGGATGTTTATCTATCTATCTATCTATCTATCTATCTATCTATCTATCTATCTATCTATCTCAGTCTGTTTATATCTATCTATCTATCTATCTGTTCATATCTATCTATCTCAGTCTGTTCACATCTATCTATCTATCTATCTATCTATCTATCTATCTATCTATCTATCAGTCTGTTCATATCTATCTGTCTATCTATCTATCTGTTCATATCTATCTATCTATCTCAGTCTGTTCATATCTATCTATCTATCTATCTATCTATCTATCTATCTATCTCAGTCTATTCATATCTATCTGTCTATCTATCTATCTGTTCATATCTATCTATCTCAGTCTGTTCATATCTATCTATCTATCTATCTATCTATCTATCTATCTATCTATCTATCTATCTGTTCATATCTATCTATCTACCTAGTGCAATTTTACTCTACCTGTGGAAAATTGATTGGCTGCAAAGGGAGCAGCAAAACAAATTAATGATTTGGAAATGGCAACGAACCTGTGGCACAAAACCGGTTCAGACGTTTCAAGGCAAATGACAACAGCCTTGAAGATAAACCAGGGTCATGGAGACGAGGCCTTGCTTGAAATGGTTAAACGACAGCTAAGCACAAGCACTCGGACATGCTCACTCACAAAACACCATCAATTGTCACCCTCATAAGCCCAACCTTGTCGACAAGACCAGGCTCAACGACGTGTGATCATGCTGGAAAATTCTCAATGTGCCCATTTTTGGCGTCAAATTATAACTATATGGATGTTTCCGTCAGTTCCTCAAAGGTGAAGAAAAGACCTGAAGCAACAAAAATGTGGTTCTACAGAACGATGCTGAGGATGTTGGAATTTTTGGGTACCCTGGTGTACTAGTGAGCCAGCCAAAATGACCCGACTCATTTTAGAGTTCACCAATAGAAGGGTTAACCAATCAGAAGGCTCAAAATATTCAATGCGACGTGTATAAAAGTGGCCATGTTTTTCCCGAATGTTCACTGCCAGCCTTTGATAACCCGGACGAGACTCCGCCGAAGGGCATAGTCTCGTTCGGGGAGGTTGACTGTCCCTGAACTCGTTTATACGCGTTCGAATAGGGAATATATTTGGCCGAGCCTACGGGCTC